CCATTGTTGTTTCGATCCTGGCCACAGTAGCGAGCAGTCTGCCCCCCCCCCGTTTCCATTAGCCTCTCTCTCTGCCACAGAGGATTACGCTACGGGGACTCGGACTGCATACAGGAGGACAGGGGTGCAAATGACTGAGCCAGTATTTGCACATCTTTCATAGCGAGAATAAGGGGGTAGGGGATGAAATGTGGTTCTGTATAAAGAAAATTGTTGTAGATAAAGATGGGAGGGGCGTTGCAATAGGGGTGAGTGAATTGAATCATGAAATCACATCAACTGTTTAAAATGGCTTCATCCATGAAAATGTATAGGAAATATAAGGGAAGAAATAAAGGGAGGGGGTGTGAAAGAGACAAATTGAGTTTCAATATGTCAATGAATTGAAGATTAGGATCCAGTGACGGGGTTAGTGGAATTGAATCAATATTCAGTAATATGAAATAGAGAAACGAGTGTCAGGTTATAATGGATAAGTTGTCAGTAAAACACAGTACATGATAAAGCGAATTATAATAGGGGAAATCCGGGTAATATGAAACGGCTGGGCAATAAGCAACGCTAAGTTTACACTTCTGCATGTAGACGGAGCGCCGTGGCGGGTATCAGAACTGCTGTTTTGTTTGTTGTATCGAGATGATTTATATTGTTTGGTGGATCAGGAAATTGTTTTGTTTATCTCTGTGTCGCTTGGAGACCCCATCCTGCCAGCCGCAATGTGGTCCCGGGGTCGACTCAGCCTCTGACAGAAATGAGTACCAAAAATCTTCCTGGGGGTCAAGGGAGTCCGGCGCGTAAGACGAAAACCTTACAGCCATCTTTGAGCCGATTGTCTAGATAATGTGGGACCCTCGACTTCTCCCAACCCTATGGGCCGCCACGGCCTGTTACAGGGGTAGATTTACCTTCAAACATAAAATATATGGCTAAACACGTTCCCGCGACAGTAGACACGAACGAAATACTAGAAGACTGTGTTCTCTTTGTGGTCCGTGCTAAGATGTTACAATCAAGGAACAAGTTTAGAGCTTAGTCACTTCTGTACGGGAGTCTATGAAGAAAGGACTTGAGCCCGGATGTAGAGGAATAACCATTGCTGGAGCCGTTATCAGGAAACGCCTAGTAAGAGACTGAGAACACTAAAATGTGTGCTCTAGTGAATTGGAAATGGCGATAGTGTTATAGCTATTTGTAGTTATGACCTGTAAGTGGTCAATAAATCTATTCACCAATCCAAACCCCGTCTGTAGTCACTAAGAAGAGGTGACAAATTTGAATTCCATCTTGAAATAATAGGAGAGAGTGTGGAATGGATTCGGTCTGCTCACTAGTAGTGCCAGTGGCGGCTTTGGGAATAGGATCTCATATAAAATTTTGGGGTATTTCTTGAGAAGGTGAAGGACTAACAGCTTCTCCCGAAAGACTCAGATCCATGAGGTACTTTAAATTTTTCATCGCCTTGGATTAACCCTTTTAAGTTCAGTAGTACGTATATAAACCATCTGCTTCAATATGACAAATTTGTGCCAACCTTAGAAGATAGGGGGTCTGGCGTGTTCAGCGAAACGAATCCCCACTGCCGTTAATTTCGGTTTTCTAGACCGGAGCCGTGAATTAGCTCCTCACTTATCCCCACGAGTCTGAGTGGACACAGCTCCAGACCCACTACTTCTCAGAAAATCTGTTTGAGCCGGGAATCGAACCCGGGCCTCTGGATTTATAGCCAGGAACTCTAACCACTAGACCATAGGGGTACTATCTACGCCGACAAACGGTGGTAGCTCGGTCGGTATAGTTCGCCGGCGGACTAAAACCACTGAGTTTGTTTCTTTAGCTTCTTTAACAGACTAAAACCGTGCATTCTGCAGTGTGTATCTGTGTGTTCCGTATATTTCTCACAGTAAACAGTTACTGTGAAGAAAGCAGTCTTCTGGGATTTGGCACCGTGTATATGTGGTGTTAACCGACGTTTCGGAGGAACGTATCGCCTCCATCTTCAGGGTAGAAGGAAAAATATTTTTTCTTCTACCCTGAAGATGGAGGCGATACGTTCCTCCGAAACGTCGGTTAACACCACATATACGCGGTGCCAAATCCCAGAAGACTTCTTTCTTCATAGTCACCGCCGTGAAAGCCTCAAATCTTACATAAACAGTTACTGTTTTCCCAAACAGCCTTAACCGGTTGGGCTTTGTAGCGGAGATGTAATGTGTTTCCTGTGAGGTTGTTGTTATCAACCGATACATATGTACCGGGTCACAGAAAATACAAATATATAACGGAACAGTGAGCAATTAATGTACTAGAGATATCAGCGTGTTGCGGTATGGCTTCCAGACGAATGCAAGGACCATTTTTCTTTGAAGTGACTGTCACAGGTACTGCCTACTTAATAATGCCGCAGGACAACATAACACCTCCCACTGATATTTTGTTTTCTGATAAAGAGCCTTAGTGTCAACATTACCACACTGATGTGAGAAAATTTCTGATGTTCGTTTCCGCAGAAGATGATAGGACGAAGAGGAAGTTTGGAGAATCCACCTGACTTCACACCATTACAGTTTACTTATGCTCTGTTCCAAAGGATCGCTTAGTATGCAGTAAAAGCAGGAAAGTTTCAGGACCTGAAACAAGAAATTGAACATTACTCTGTGCTGTGATTCCATCAGCAACAATTAAAAAATGTCTCTTAGATAAACTGAAATATCCAATGACCTCATCAGGAATCGAATCCGCGACCTTCCGGCTTGTAGCATAGTACATCAACCAACTGTGCAACCGCGTGCCCCCACAACTAGTAGACCTAATTTTCGTTATATTGGTTCTTAAAACTGTGAACATTGAAAATCGGGTACTTAGAAATGCGGATAAATCACATACCAGAGAATTTGAAGACCGGGGTTCGATTTATGACATGAATGAAAAATTTTCGTCTTTTCCACTGCATGCAGACAGGTTTCGGTATTCACCAACTTCTTAGGTAATGGGTACTGAGGATTCGTTCCCTGGGTTTAAAGCAGCCGGGACGTGAAGCTGACTACCTTCATTTATTGCAGAGTTTAATGCATCGAGCTATACTACCCATTACGCATTCAATGCTTGCTGCTTAGTTAATTAAGCACAGGAACAACTGTAACTTCTGAAAGTTGGCTCTGTTCTGAGACGAGCAACAAATTTCCATTTGATGTGTCCGTAAAGTAGGTGATACTAGGTGACAGTAGGCATTAGATAGGTGGAAGTAGGCGATAACAGACCAAAGCAAAGCAAAATAAACTCGGTTCGCAATTTTCCCGTGTGAATCCAACAAATTGATTCCACGAAATGTAGTCATTCTTGAGGCTGCTATTTGTACAGAACACTGCTGTCTTCTTGGATGTGACGAAGCGCAAAGCGGTAGATATATTAACGGACGTTTCGGGTGAATGAATTTCTCATGTCACTCCTCGACGTATTATCAAAGCAAGCTTGAAATTTCGACCCTGAAGATGGAAATATTAGATTCCTCCGAGACCACGTACGGATAACACGAATTCACATCCCGTAAGGTTACAAGATAAATGTGTACGTATAATTATACCTGTGCTTAATTATGAAATACGTCTTCAGAAGTACGGGGTAGTGGAGGTATACCTCCACCATTCTTATCTGCTACATCAGATTGAAGTGAGTGGTTAGCTTTACGCCCCGGTATCTTTCTTCCGCTCTGAAAATTCCCTTAAAACTCATTCGATAAAGGCGGGAAAGAAAAAACATTTTGTACTTCTGTCGGTCCTGCAAACCCGAGACCACGTCATACCGACCGAAGTAGCTCTCATAGAAGGTAATACAGTCAAGTAATCTGCTCTGTGGAAATTTAAAATTGAAGCTGATTGTTGTTCAGCCACTCAAGGAATTACTCCTATTTTATGGAATTTGAAGGTGCATTGAATATCCTTGTCGGCCCATTTCGTCTTTCCTCATCAACTGCAGCCGATACTAAACGTCTGAGGTGATGAGGACTACACTCCTGTATAGTATATATAGGACTATACATTACGTCTCCGCTACAAAGCCGAACCGGTTAATGCTGTTTGGGGAAACAGTCGCTGTTTATTGTGAGAACCATACTGAACACACAAATACACTTCCAAATATTATGTATGAATTCAGTCCGTACTTCACAGGAAACATATTACGTCTCAGTTACAATGCCCAACCGGTTAAAGATGTTTTGGGAAACAGTCGTTGTTTATTGTGAGAACCATACGGAACACACAGATACACTTCCATATATTATGTAAGAATTCAGTTCGTACCTCACAGGAAACACAATACGTCTATGCTACAAAGCCCAACCGGTTAATTCATTTGGAGAAACAGTCGCTGTTTGATATGAAAATCAACGATATATTTTGTGAGCAGATTTGGGAATATATTTAATTTAGAAATACGTAGGTGGTATTATGAGTTACCTCTGAATATAAGTGATTTAGATCTTGTAAAAGTACTACTGCTTTTTTTTTTTTTTTTTAAGGTTTTCAGTGACTGAACTCTTCTTATAACAATGAAGAATGTCTCGTTGTAGGGCGGTAATGGTCTCAAGAGATCGCTATTTGTTTCCTTTGTTGAGTCTTGTGTGCTCAGTATAATTCATCTCTAAGGATATGTCGCACGTTGACTAGGCAAACTTAGCCCCGTGTCTTCTGGGATAAAACATCTTGTATTTCGGTAAATTCCACCGAAATTTTTGAGGCACCTAGGACTTCCATCTTTACAGTAGTAAAGTGAGAAAAACAAATAGTCAGCAGTGAGCACGCGGCAAGCCTGAGCGACGAGACGTGAGTGGACTTCTGCCGAAATGCACGGAGTCACAACCCAGAATATCTAACTGACAGTGATCACCTTCGGGAAGTACTCAGAAGCAACAAAATTGTAACTTTGTGATGATGACGTCACTAATGACGGCCCCACCATAAATGATCATTTGATTCGCTATGACGTTACATTTCTTTTTTCAGGTTTGGTTCAAGAACCGGCGAGCCAAATGTCGACAACAGCAACAACAGCAACAACAACATAATCTTGGTGGCGGTGGAGGGGGGAGCAGTTCTAGCAACACCAAGCCCTCCAGGGTTCCAGGGAGCAGCCCTAGCTCTAAGATCAAGACGTCCAAGCACTCTCCACCGCCCCCAGCTCCTTCCAGCACCGGAAGTAACAGCGTGTCTCCTCCAGTTAACGTGATCCTGAAGAAGGAGCCGTCACCCGTCATTTCGTTCCAGCAGCTCCGGGTGGGAGGTGGGGGAAATGTGACACCGGTCGGCAGCGCTCCAGGCGGGGGCTGCAGTACTACACCTTCTTCTGTGTTGATTCCAAGTCCTCCAGTGACCCCCGGTACGTCCGTTGGCTATCAGCACGATATATCGTACAACGGGTTCGGCTGGGGAACTCCAGGAACATCCAACACATCTTCCCCGAACTGTTACACCCAGAACTATAGTTCTTACTATGGTAACATGAGTGTAGACTATTTACCTCCGCCATCTTCAGCGGTGTCTCACCATCAGATGAGTTCAACTGCTTCACACGCGTCTGCCTCGAACTTAACTCAACACTATTCCTCTCACAGTCACGTTGTAGCCCACGGGTTCAATCACCACCATCACCAAATGGCGACGTACTCGGGAATGGGTATGAGTGGACATCACCAGAGCTTCAACTCCTCCAGACACCAGGATTATAACATGGATTATCAGCTCGCGCACGATAAGTATCAGGTGGTGTAGTCTGGGAGTCAGTAAGCTTGCCTCAGCGTGCAACTTGAAGATGAGCAGTGCTTAATTGGTGACGCCCGTGTGATGTGTGGATCTTGGCTGGCTCAGGCAGTGAATGGTCTGTTGGAATTTTACCCCCGTCAAGCAATCAGCATTCTAAATGCATCTTTGACTGGATAAAGCGACGATCTGATGAATTTATTCATTTTCTGGGAAAGAACGCCTTCTAGTCCGGTGACGTTTATATCTTCAGGGCTGAAGAGTAAAGTCAAGGGAGAAAGCAGTACGGAGCAGGCAGAAATCAGCTCTGAAACGTAGATTGAGCTTAACTGGACTCCAAGCCATTGCATCCTCACTTCTGCGAGGACCTCAAATACAAAGAGAGTCCATATGGCTCTTAATTCGATCAAGTTACCAACAGTTCATGTGGTACTGCTCGAAATATTTAATGTTCCATCAAAATCTGAAAGACTGTTATGAATGTATTTTTTATCATTGTTACGCTGTTTCGGAGCGTTCGCAACGAAAATTTCCAACATTGCACGCCTTAGCTAGGAATTTTCTGTCTGTCCGCCTGTTTAGACGATTGTTGTCTAAACTTACGTAGGACAATTGTTACTCAAATTTGTTTCCAGTTTCGTTTAAAATCAGATAACAATACCGGACACTTCACATGGAGACCTGCGCACGCATCGCGAAGGTTTGTCGGAGCGGAAAATGTTCCAGGCAGAATTTAAAAAAAGTAAAATTAAAGCTATCCCTGTACCAGGCCGTGAAGGCCCATAGGATTTTGAGACGTTGAGGGTCCCACATTATCCAGACAATCGGCTCAAAGATGGCGGTAAAGTTGTCAGCCTTACGCGCCGGCCGCGCTTTACTGCCCAGGAAAGTTATTTAATTAATTCCTGGTACTCATTTCTGTTAGAGGCTGAATAAACCCCAGGGCCTAGTGCGGCTGGAAGGATTAGGTCAAATGAAAAATATCCAATGACCTCATCGGGATTTGAACCCGCGACCTTCCGGCTTGTAGCGTAGCACCTCAACCACTACGATACAGAATTTATAAAGAAAAATGGAATGCATAGTTTATGTCCATATTTTTTTCACACAAACCTTAAGATTTTGAAGGAAAATTAAAGAAAAAAGAGTGAACGTGTCAGAATGGTTACGTTATGCATGTACAGTTCCTACCTTAGAGGTACTTGTGGCCGTCAGCACAGAAATCAGTAAATAAAGGTGATGTTGACGTGTTAACATTATGTTTTGTTACATATACCACTGTTACTGTTGTGCTCACGTCCACACAAGTACCTCTAATAATATTCACAACATGATTCAATTAAAACGATTATTTCCTACGTCGTTTAACAAGTCTACTAATGACAGAAAATTATGTATTGAGATTTGAGGTTCTCATTGGTTTCATGCTGTTGTCTTCTGGGTTAGAACAACATGTAGTGTTGAAGGTGCTTAACAATTGTTCTGAGGAACCTGCTTTCCATCAGTGCTATGAACACTTCTTCACAGAAGATGGGAGCAGCAGGTTCATTCGTAACGTCAACCTTGAAGTGACATTTAATGCTTAAAATTCCAATCCACAATTTTATGTTATCTGGGTAGTTCCGTGAGTAAATAATTTTGTAAAAAATCCTGAGAATCTCAATTTAAGAAAAAGCAAAATTCCCCGCAAATATTCCGTGATTATGCAACAGATGGCATATGCTGTCAGATAAAAGTCGGAATTTTCGTGGCCTGGCAATTTTAGGGTTAACAACCAACCAGCTTCCCCGCTTTGTATCCCTTTGCAGGTGTTCACCCACTCTTGGACACCATCTGTCTCCGGGACTCAGTCAGATGGTACTGTGTCGTAACCCACAAGACTGTAAGTTCACCGACGTTTCGGGGGGAGGCACTTCCTTAAAATAACGTTCGAACAGTAAGCCAAAGAAACAGGAAGTATGCAAATATGCAGAAGAGGCTTCGTGGGGAACCTAGTTCAAGTCTGTAAAGGAGCCTTGCAGGGCCAGAGGAGAGTTACTAATTCTGGCTTGTCTTGTGAAAGTGGAAAAATGGATGAAAGCGGGAGAGAAGTCCACGGGACGTACACGGCCGCTCCACAGATTGAGCAACACTCAACCTTATGCGGCTGTTCCATAAGGCACTTAATAAAATTCTTCTGGGCGGGAAAACTATTCCGTTACTTGCGGAAACAGAAATTAGTCAGGTGCGCGGATGAATACTACCAACATTCGCCTTCAGTCAAGGTACAAAATGTAGATCATATTTCGTTGCTCTAAATGTTGGTTTTCTGTGCTTAAAATAAATTCCTTATTTTCTTATTTAAAAGGACGTTTCGGATACTGATCTCTGTCTCTGTCCTCAGTTAAAGAGCCTACACAGAGACAGAGAGAGTACGTAATCCCAAGCTCCGGAGACAGAACGAGTGCAGTTAGTTCACCTCAGGGCTCAGGCAGTGTCCAATCTCCGAAAAGTCGCTTTAAATAAAAGAAAAAGCCGCTAATCATATTGATATGTCATCGTCGCTAAATTTGGAATATATTTTTTTTTCATATTTCAATTTCAGTTTCCTACAAATAAAAAACGTGCGCCAACATATATTGAGTAAACCCTCGCTAATCCGAATTAAATGGGGGTCATCCGGATTAGCCGATAATCTGAACTAATGAAGGAAAGGATAGCCCGAAAAGAAGAAGAGAACTTAGAAAAGAAATAAACGGAAAAGCTAATAATATAGGTAGCCCTTATAAAAAAAATCACTGCAGAAATGCTTCCTCTGTCAGAAGCTGAAATCCTGGGTCTCCTTCATCTAGCTGAAGCCAATCTTACGATATTGCGTGTTTTCAGTCTCTCCGGCTGCCCTCAACTCAGAAAGTCCTCTAGCTCCTAACTGCCACTTGCCTTTTGAAGTTTACACTCAACTGTGAACAGCATTTTTCGTATTTCGATCCGGATTATCGAGGGTACACTGTATAGACCTACATACCTGTATTACAGTAATAATATCGACTTGAAAAATTCGGGCTACTCAAGACCTTCCGGAATAGGACTAGCGTCACAGGGTGTACCCGTGGAATTCGTGGACAATGCGGAAATTGGGGTGGGGGTGGAAGAAAAGTTGCTCTGACAGATTGGCGCCCTGAAAAGCGTAGTGTGAAGGTGTCCAACGGCGTAGCGGAAGAAGGTGCCACGAGATCTCCTATGAAGAAGGCTTCCTAACATGAAACTTACACTTCTTTCGCAAGGACCACGTATCCGAGTGTCACTAAGTAACTATCACCTGTCATCTGAGTGCAAGTTCAGTGCCTTGAAACGGACAAATATCACGCGCTTAGAGTCCTAGAAGCATAGGCCTACAATAATTAAGAGCAAATTTAGGATTCTAAGTTAGTTCTTGCATTTGTATAGAAGTGCTGAATATTTTTATATTCGTAACGTAAACTCTCATATCCGAAATTCGACGAAACATTACAGATTTTGCAAGTTTGATCACGAAATTGTTGGGGTTTCCCCCAATATCAGGGTGACAGCAGCTCTCAAACGAGTGGTCGTACGCGTCTGCATGTTCTTCAGCGCGATCGCAGTTTCATATGTCGTGAAAAACCTTTGCTGGCCCAGACTTCATGTTTTTATTGTGTTGCTGATTTGCTGCAATGGTTTAATGAACAAGATTAGGCTGTTCTAATGGACACGTTTGACTAGGTGCTTCCACACTTTTTCACCCGAGGATGGAAAGAGATATAGTTTCCGAAACGTTGTGTTCTGTTCGCAATACCAGATTATGGACAGAGCCCAGAGTCCCAGAAATACAATTGCAATATATCGTCGCCAGAAACATTTGCAATTGTTTTCAGATTCTTGCAATCGATTTCAGATTCTTGCAATCGATATTCTCAAAAGGTTTGTTAGAGTTATAGAAGACGCAACTCATGCACAAGTAATGCCCTTTCTGATGTATATACAGGGTGTGTCAGCAATGTTTCTACAATCGTTCCTCTTGAGTTTACTTGTGTGATGTCAGAATATGTGTGTCGGCCTATCTTTCATGAACTTAAAATATTATGAGTACATGTTATGAATAAATGAAATGATATATTACTAACACCCATGGACTTTTATATATATATACTATATCCATAAATATTTATAACTTCTGTGATAAGCGAATATGGACTGAATGAAACAAGATAAGGAACTTCCTGTACTCTGTGGTAATCAGCAGGGTTCTGTACCAGACGGAGAGTTTCTTGAGCAGCTGAGCGACTATTAGCTTCTCAAGAAGTTCCTGAATTTATACCCTATCACTCGTCACTGAACAGTAATCAGCTGTTTTCATCTGGAAATCCAAACCCACAGCCCAGACGCCATCTGGTTTAGAACCCCCTTCCACAAGCACCAACACAGGTGTCCAGACATTGCTTTCAGAAGGAAAGATTCTTATTCTGGAGTCGCTTGTTTCAAATCTCGGCTCGAGTATCGGTGATACTTAACATATAATTGGTTTACCTCAGTTTCACCGTGCAAATCCCGGGATGGTGCTTCAGTTGGGCCAGTACCACTTCCTTCCTAATTCTTTACATCCATTATTCATCCAACCATTCGATGTTCTGTAGTACAGACACTGTGAGAACCTTGAAGCTTCTCTCCAGCCATTTCATGTCATTTTCAGACAGCCACGCTAGACAAAGAGTATGCGTGGAGCCTTACCTCCGTGCTATTTGTTTATCCTAATGGGGTGGTGTTAATACACAAGGACTTGCTTTAAGCGAGTTATGTTTGTTTGTTTTTTTCATTTAACTGACTCCAGTAGATGACTAGATAATTGTATATACTGAGGTCACTCAAAGGATTCCAAAGCATGCACAACTCTCGAGCTGTTACATTTCCCCCTCCAGCACAATCCCATATATTCAACTCCCTTCATTCAGCCATTGTCTTGGCATGAATGTTGATAGTAATAACCTTAGCTATGAGCTTGTTGGCATAGGCCATACAGGACGAAAGTTTAAATTTTCTAGCACCATGAACCCCGCCTTTCGTGGGGTGGCATCAACATGTTATTCCTAGAGGCACATAGATTCCGGAACCAAGTAGCTCTGACAGTATAGTGACTAGACCACATGCTGGATCATCGAGGATTCGGGTTTCGATACCCGTAAAGGCAAGAGACTTTCGCATTCTCAACAGCGACCAGACCGACTCTGGGGTCCACTCAATCCCATATCCATTGGGTTAAGGGGTCACTTTCCCCGGGGGTAAAGCGCCCGGGGCGTGAATATGACGGCTGACTTATAGTTAGTACGAAGGATATGAGTGCATGGAGCCATAACTCCACTCCAAATACGTCTTTATATCGTAGTGCATAATTAATTAAGCATAAGGAAAACTTTACCTCAACATATGAGAGTTCGAACCTAACAATATTGAGTTTTGATCCTCAGCCTGAATTACGAAATATTGTGGATCCAATTTTGCAAACCACTGGCTATATCTTTGTGTGCTTTCGCCGAAATCTAACCCACAAATTTATCTGTGCGTCATCCCACTGTCTGCCGCTAATTCACTTCTATATCATTGTTCACGCTAACTCTCGGTAACTGTCACTCAGTCACGTGACCAACACGATCACGCAAGCGCTCTCGCCAAAATGGGTAACATGAGAATTTCATTATATAACTCAATTGTACTCATTCAATTTGGGTCATCCTGCGAGCGTTTACATCTGTACATCACTACATAGATCTGTCACCACTGCCAGTACGCGGTTTAAGGCATAA